CCAGAGCAGAATATCATACGCTGCGTGCAAAATCACGTATTGTCTGAGTAGGTAGCCTACTACATTTGAATTTGAACTTACTTTGCGGCCGTTAAAAAGGTATGTTCTAGCCTGGGAAAACCCAGACAACTTCCGGCAAATTTAGGCAAAGAGCTCATTCAAGCCCATTTCTAATCCGTCGATATCGCGGCGCCAATCAGAAACGTTGGGGCGGGCTTTACACGATGACGACAGCACAGCGACCGTGAAGCAGATTTTGCACATTTACAAAGATGGATGCTGCCGTGGAACTAGGGGTGTGACGGTTATAGTTGAACAACGTCATTAGAACTCTATAACCGCCAAAACCATGTTATTAAAATATTTTTTTAAATACTAATATCAGTTTACGAGGGAAACGGAGGCGGAGTTAGTGGTGCTTTGGAGCATGGGAGTCGGAAGCAAAAAAAAAAAGGGGGTGGGTCCTCCCCCAGAAAAATTTTACTAATGCCATTTCATGTATTCTGATGCCTTTTAATTAAACAAGTAAACTAAACTCGCCTCCACGTCGTGCATTAAATGCACAGCTATCCGTGGATTATCCCGCTGCTGATACCATGGTCATGTGCCAGCATTGACAACTTAAAGCTGTTATTGATGTTTGCAACGTAATATTTGACTGGAAGGGTACAACGGGCGGTTATTTTCGTGAGTTGCGGCTCGTTGAGAAATATAATGTAGCGATTCAGCGGAAATGGAGTTTAATTCATTAGGGCATTCCTCAAGTGGAATGGATTTGACTGACGGCGCTCTGGAAAGCGAACAGACAAATGCGCCGAATGTAAAAGTGAGTGGGTCCAATATCATTGGTCTTAAAAAGTGGGTGGGTCCTGTCCCCCCCATATACAATGGTTCCGACGCCCATGCTTCGGACGCTGAGTGCTGGAGATGATTCGGGAGAGATCTGTGCACCCCCTCACAAGAAGAGAAATCTTGGAGATCTCCTTAATAAACGGAGGTCTGAAATCTCTGCCGCATCAGAGCGGAGAGCGCTGACACGGAGTAAAGCCTTGTTTAAACGAGTTCTAATACGAGCAGGATTCGAACCCTGGGCTCTGGTGTGGGAGGCAGGCGCTCTAACAAGGACGCTAAAGACCACAGTCTCTAGCGTAAGTCGCTAGTGCGCCTCTTGAGGCCATGAGAGTGAGGTTCACCTGCACAGCTACTAGCCTCCATTACTCATAGAAATGTCCTGACGTAAAAGATGTGAATGATGATATTACTTTTTTTCTAAACGATTGGAGACAAATGTCTTTTCTTTTTTTTTACCAGACCAAAAAAAAAAAAATCACATGAATTTACACAACAAAAGGAATCACAACCATAATTATACACTTAAAAATGACACTGAAGTCATTTATAATGTTCCCCCCAAAAAATCTGTTCCCAATAAATTCAGTTCTTTTGAACTTTATATTAATCAGAGAATCCTGAAAATGAATCAATGGTTTCTAGAAAGAACACTGTTTTCAACATTAATAATAATAAGAAATGATTCTTGAGCAGCAAATCAGCATATTAGAATGAACTAATTAAAGCAAAGTTTCATCATGCATCGCATAGAATGTTAATAAAAGCAAACTATAATTCTTCAAAGTAATTCCTTTGCAAAAACCGCCGTTATTGCACAAGCACGAGGCATCACACCGCAGGTGCCCGTGACGGGACACATTTCATCTCTGTTTAGAGTTCCCAAGAGTCTTTCTAATGCCCGATGCTCAAAAAGACAATGATGAACCTGCTTATTGGGCTTAAACACCTGTATAAACCAACAATCGTGCGCTCGCAGCTAAAGCTCAATAAGAAATGCAGGGCTGCATCACACACAGGATGAGGAGAAGACTAGCATTCCAGCTGACTGTGAGGGGCACGGAGCCAGAAGATGGGGAAGCGGATAGAGAGGGTGAAAGCAAGCCTGAAAGACTCGTAGAGAGAGAGAGAGAGAGAGAGAAGAGGAGGAGGGGGGTATTGGCAGCCCTGTCCTACAGAGCGAGGCCCGCAGGCATTTGTTTTCTGAGAGGAATTACAAGTGGAAGAGAAACAAACCCTACAGCCACTGAAAAGAAAATCCTCTCAGCTTTTTCTTTGCCTTTCTGCCATTCTTTAAAAAAGTGGGGAGTCTGTGGATTACAACAGGCTTTATTGGTTTACTTCGTATTGAGAATCGGGAAATTGAAGATGTCATTCCCGCTTTAGAGCTGGGGACAATAAGAGGATGCTGAAAACGAAGTCAACCATTTGCTTTGGCGGAGAGTCTGAGCTCGGCATGAGCTCAATTGAATAGAGAAAGAGGTTTTCTCACTGTTTTGCACACATGGGTCAAGGGCCAAAACAGCACCACAGTCAAATGCTGATGAAAAGATAAACAGATAATCTAAAGAAGATACAGCAAACAGTTCAAGTTGAATCGTCTTGCTTTTCAGGAAAGAAAAGAAGCAAAGAAAAACACTTTAAAAGTCTATGAGGCGAGAAACATTAAAAAGCACTTTGTTTTTTGAAGGGGTGGCCACAAGTTTTTAATATTATACACCACTGTTCAAAAGAAATGAATACTTTCATTCAGCAAGGATGCATTCAATTTATCAAAAGTGACAGTAAAGACGTTTAGAATGTTTCAAATAAATGCTGTTTTTTGAACCTTTCATCAAAGAATCCTGAGATATCACGGTTTCCACAAAAATATGAAGCAGCACGACTATTTTCAACATTGATAATAATCAGAAATGTTTCTTGAACAGCAAATCAGCATATTAGAATGATTTCTGAAGGATCATGCGATACTGAAGACTGGAGTAATGATGCTGAAAATTCAGCTTTATATCACAGGAATAAATTACATTTTAAAATATATTCAAATAGATACATTTAAACAATACTGTATGTTTGGTGCAGTAAATGCAGCCTTGGTGAGCACTTACACTTAATTTCGATAGTCCACTTTAGACAAACCAAATATAAGTACTGTCGCTTTGCACAGTCAACTAACTCTCATTAGAGTATTAGTAGACTGTTAGGTAAGGGTTAAGTTGGGTCAGTAGAATAAGTTGGTTGGCATGTAGTTGCAAAGTTACTTATAGTCAGTAGAATATCTGTTGGGGAGCATCAAAATAAAGTGTTAGCAGATATTCTATTAAGACGACAGTCTGGTAGTTGACATGTAGTAAAATGACTTATAGTTAGTACATTGTCTAAAGTGGACTGTCGAAATAAAGTGCTACCTCATCTCCTTTTGTGTTCCACCAGTCACATGGGGTTTGAACAATATAAGTATGAGTAAACTGGGTGAACTATACAGATGTCCCTACATTAAGAGTGGCAGTATATATAAACATCTTGATACATATGATCAAAAGACCAGATGTGTGAATAATTACTGCGAAGAAAATGCTTATAAAAACACTGAATGTGACAAGCTGCTGAATTTTGCAACCTGATGCTATCCAATTAGAGGCTGCTATAAACAATCGTTGGCTTTATATTATAATATTCCACCAAGCAAGAAACTTTTTTTTTCTGTTCAGAAGAAAGTTCACATCTAGACATCAGGGCAGTGACGACATTAATTAACAGGAAATATTCTCACTCCCTCAGCTCGCATGAACTCTCCAACCAAACTTAATTTGGCTTGAAGATGATTAATAATTTGATCATATTCTCAGGTCTACCAGCAGTAATTTTCTATCAAACTTAAATGTCAGATGGAAGCCTGGGTCAAATACGGTGCCATATGGTTCTCGACAGAGGTGTGAGCTGATGCATAATGAGAAGCATTTAAAGGACACGTTTTTAAAACGATTTAGCACAAAACCAGGCCTACGAAACAATAAAAAATTGATGTTGAACAAATTTGCATGCACAATTTTTTTAAATGAGCCCAAGCCCAAGTGTTTTAGCCCAAGTGTTTTAATAAAAAAAGATTCGCTAAAGTCAGCATAGCTCAAATTGTTTAGATAAACACTTAAATTAGCTTATAAATATTCAATGGCCTAATTTTTTTCAGTGCAGTAACCTTGATCAGAAGAAACCAGTGGACCCGTACCATCTAACATCATTTCCATTAGTGCATTATCCCATTATCTAGCAGTTAGTAGATTCGCTGCAAAAAAGTGAATAAAAAATAGCAGCATTCAACATAAATTAATAAATTCAACAGACCCAGACTTCATCATTAATTCGATTTATAAATAATGGCTTGTAGGAAATATATAAATTATTTTAAAAATCTGTAATAATGATGATAAGGTTGATAATGTCTTTAATAATAATGTGGGGGTTTCTTTCGCGGTTTTAATGCTGAATTCTTTCAGGGGAAAATGGAAACATCGATGTATACATAATGAGTTAATTCTTAAGCTTCCGCAGTCATTACAAATCATGAAAAAAGATGCGTAAAAACGCACGGCTCCGCGCTTCAGCTGCCCAGCCGTTAATCGGTTGACTGCCACCATCGTGTGGAGAGAGGATGGAATAACTTAACTGCTCGTTTACACTTCAAAAATCAAGAATCAGCCAAGAAACAAGATCGTTTAAAAAGAGACGGAATGAAACATATCCGTATTCAAGCACGTAACAGTGTGCGCAAACGCGCAATGGCGGTGCAAATAGTGATTTCTCATCACCACTGGATTTCTGATGTCAGTCTTCCATACATCTCTGACGAATGCTTTGACATATTTTGATTGATAAGGATCCTTAAGCACAAATATAAATGAAGCTGCGGCAGTATCACGAAATGCTCTCGGATGTAATGTGGACACTTGGAGTTTGGCACAGAAGTATTTGTGCTGCCTAAGTCAGAAAACAACAATCGCTGGGAGTTTACAGGTTGAATTTTTTTTTTTTTTATGCACTGACACGTGTCCACATATTAAATAAAATGCTATACCAGAACACCAAGCTATCCAATAAGACTGATATTATGGATGGATAAGCACTTTTACGCACGGGAGTTGGACGCTCACCTGACTGCGAGGTGCACAGGGGAACAATCACAGCAGTGAGGATGAGGACGATGATGATTTCAGATCGCATTTTGATCATATGAAGAGGCTGCATATCCATTTCTTCACATGTCCACTCCAATGTCCCGTTGGCGAGCTGTCAATTGTCTTTCAGCCTGTGCGTCTTTGCGCAGCTGTTCACATAGAGCGCATGATCTGGAGTTGAGCCTTGTTTTAAGTCTGCGAGTAAAACTGGATCAGTTCATTAAATGACAAGAGGTGAACGAGAGTTATTCCTGGTCTAAATGTGACTGCGTTTGGACTGTCAGCACTCTACGCTGAATTCCGGACCGAGTTACTGTCTCCGTGCTCGGGCGCGCGCCTTGAGCGCTTGAACACCGCCCTCCTAAGCACTGATTGGCAGGAGTGTGAATTCATTAAGGTGAGGCACGCCCCAAAACACAAATCTGTTTTTGTGTGTGGGTTTTAGTTCTTACTACAGTGTTCGAAGTCGTAGTTTGAACGGAATGAACATTTGATTCCACGTGCACATCCCCGAGACTCGTAACTGCAATAAGTTCAAATATTTGAAATTAATGTATTATTTTCCATGTCTCAATGCTTTTTAGACTTGGTACCATGGCAATACAACGTTATGTACGAGAACGCCTTGGTATTCCATTAAGTATCATGTAAATATCATAGTATACAGATTAGTGGCATTCAGTACGTGCATGATTATTTCTTAACAGTACAGTACTTTGTAAGAGTTAGGGTTAATCTTTTTTTTGCCATTTTTATTTGAATATGTGTGTGGCCAAGTGACGAGTTCTTTCACTATGCCTTTAGTTTATACACATGTACAAGCTAAACAATGTTTTTTTTTTTTTTTAAAAAAACAATAGCGCCATCTGGTGCAAAGATGAAGACAAACACAATGGCTGTGTCCACAAACCTTTGTTTGGTACAGCATTCCTTCTGTTGTAGGGTAAATTCTGGATTGCAATATACTTCAAATAATCACCCTACGATAATTGTTGTATGCGTAGGCAATTCATTTGCAAAAATATGCAGTATACAACAGAGACTGCTACAGAATTTGATTGCAATTGCCTTCAACATGTCCAGTGTAATTGGTGAACCGGACACAATTCAGTTTTTTTTTGTTTTGTTTTCTCAAATCTCACTATTTGATCTGACTGCAAAGAGTTAAAACAATTTTACACAAAATTGGACTAAAATAAGGCAGTAGGCCGTTTTCTTCTCCAAACATAGCCCTATAGTAAGCTACCTATTTTTGGCATCATAGGCAAATTTTGCATTATATAATGCCTAAGAATGTATCTGGGTAAGAAGCTCACTATGTTTTGAGCCAAAACCAATGTTAACAGACAAGCGGCATATTATTTTCCGATCATAGCTCTAGTGTACCTAGACAGCAGGTTTGGGCAATAAAGGCAAATTCACATTATATAATCCCTGAAAATGCCATCTAGGTAGGCAGCTCACTAGATTTTAGGGCAAAGCCAGTGATAACCTATGCACAGAGCTCTTAAGAGAACAAATTATGATAGCAAACTGTAGAAGTTTACACACAAGTTACTACAATTCTTTACTTAGTGGTAGAATTCCTCTTTAATATACTTTACAAATGGATATACACCCCCTGAAGAGAAAAAATAATCAAATTAAATAAAGTAAATCCTCACTAATTGAACAGGCTTTATGGCTGAGCAGTTCAGTAGCCCAGTGCATGCTACCAAACCAGACATGTATTAAAATCCCAGTCTCTCTCGCTCAAACACACACTCTCACTCTCACACAAACACAGTACTAGCATACAGGTATTCTTGTGTACATGCACACATCGGTAAAGCTGAACGTGTATACACTGACAAAAATGCATACGAGAGCAAAGGCTGAATCTCACCTGCACATCCAGAACATGTCCGGGTCATATTTCACTCCAAAATCACAAGCAATAAGAAGTTATATTTTCCATTTAACATTATTTGATGATAATTATGCACAGTTTTCTCAAAATGTCCTAATGAAAAAAAAAACTTTTTTTTTTTTTAATTTCGAGGAAACCATACATAATTCATCATCAAAAATAGTTGCAACTAAAAAAAAGCTTTATCAGCACATCGTAATTTTATGCTAAATAGATTTTCTTGTTTTTTGATTTCAAGTGTAAAATGTGAGCTGGACATTCGTGAGATTCACACATCTCACAGATTTGAACTGAAACAGTTTCATAACTCGTCATTTGCATGGGTGATACGGAGTAGTCTGATAACTGCAGTGATTTTACATGAGTTACAAGAAATCCACCGGCGTATTCTGCGGGACATCAGTGCTATATGCTTTCGCGCATTTCCTCAACGGTGGACTCCTCCCCCAGAGCCAATTTGGGATTTCTATGACATCACTTATGAACAAATTCATGAAGCAGGCTGCAGAAGTTGGCTTACAACGCATGTTCAGTTATATGTGGCAAAAACACAGAGGCACTAGCATAGGAGGTGACATCAGAGAGGTTACACGTCCTCATTTTCATGATCACCATCTTTGTACTTATTTTTTCTTTTCTTTTTTTGTGTGTGTGGGGGGGAGTAAAAGCAATCTTGATTGAGAAGAACCAGCGAGAGTGTCCGCTTCGAAATAAAAATCCCACAGAAATGGACAGTAAGGCCCACATCCCCACCTCCCAAATCTTGCTCAGGGACTCACGGCGTCATTCATTACACATTTTAACTTTCTTCTTTCCCCAAGTATGTTTTAATAGTTTGCGATTTTGTCTCAGTTGCAGTCTGAATCGACGTACATCTGCAAAGTCACATGCAAGTGAGAGCGGCTCACGTGGCAAACAGAGACATCATCTTGCATAGTTTTTGATGAAGTCCTGAACTTTGTTCCTGAAATCCTCCTAAAACAGGAAGCATTAAAGAAATTGATGGCTTTGGATACGTATGCAAATATCATTGTATTTATTTTTTTCTTAAAGCCGTTACGTTTCCAAAAGACTGTGCCAGTAGACATGTTTGGAAGCGTGTTTAAAAGCGTGACGTGTGCTGGTGTTTTACCTTGTCCCGTAAATGATGCTCTGCTGCATCTATATTCAATGGGTCATCAAAGTTAAGAAGATCCTGTGAGAGAAAAGACACATCTATTGGTTTTCGCACTCAAAATTGAAAACTGATTATCTAAGATCTTTCTTGAAGATAGCACGTGTACTTACAGTAAAGAGTGAATTCAGTCCCCATACTACATCCTGAAGATATAAAAATGGGTGGGAAAAATAATGCAGATTAGCCAACACAGAAACTTATTGACTTCCGCAAAAACACAAACATCACTTTCTTTGTAATAAATAAACCAACTAATATTAGATATTTAATTATACAGTCATACTTAGTTTAATATTTACATTATTTATCATAGTGATATGCATTTTCTGAAGAAAAAAACAAAGCTTGAGATGAAAAAAGTATAAAATGAATGACATTTCAAATCTGTAAACTACAAAAATATTTATAGAAGAAAGAAAGACAAAGTAAGAAAGGAAGGAAGGAAGAAAACATGAAGCATTTCAATACAGTTCCGCTTGGTAAACACTTTAATGAATTTCCCAAGATGCATTACAAAAACAGAAATTACCTTTAGTGTACGGGTGGGTGCCCATCCAGTACCATCAATTGAATGCTCTCGCAATAAACTTGAATACATGAATACAATATCAGTTAAAGAACATAAAAATAATCAAACCAATGTGGAGTCTGACACATTAAGACATATGAATACATAACAGACATACCTCAGGCAGATCTCTCCGGTTTCTGCAATGTTTGGGTGCCATATTCTAGTCATGCATTTGACTTTAGGAGGCTGTGGAAAGCAGAACATGGTTTGTAATATTACAGCCCTACCTAGGGTGCATGTTTGAATTTGATTCTATCTAACAGAGATCACTGTAAACAAGTCTATATGTAATCGATCTGCTTGATCACCCGCCTTTTCAAAATTGACAACATTATCATCTGTATTCCAGACTGGGAATACAGAGCAGCAATAATGTACAGTATCTGAAAAACAGTGCATATTTGAACATTAAAGCATATTAACCTATTCTATTACACCCAATACACAAAATAATGAACTTTTAAAAAAAGCATTGTATGACCCCTTTAATATGAATTACTATAAATGACTTCTAGTCATTATAATGCAGCTAGGTTTTTATACAATCATGGAAGTTTGTATAATGCTTTGCTTAATGCCTTTCGCCTCCATAATATTTCATGATTGTGGGTCCTTGTCTGGGTCTCTGCACAGCCTTTACTTATTTCAGGTGCTCTGAGGTCAAGGATGGGTTGTGTTATACATGTGTGCATTTGTGTGGGTACACTCAGACTACTCTTTTATTGAATTCAGACACTGCAAAACATCGGCAATGCCCGCAAACATCTATTTAACGGCCCGCTTACGAATGGACTACTAAAATCATCATTGCAGTGCAAGTGAGTAAGTGTGGCATTACCTCATTACTTCATGATATGTTACAGGCACTTACCACCATATTATAGGCTTCAAGAACTTCAATCTCAAACTGAAACTTTCCACCAAGGTAATAGCCTTCATCTGAAGAGATGTTTTGTGGAAATGGAAGGTTATATTTTCACTAGCACAATACAAAACAGTTGACAGATACTAGCAATGTAAAAAAAAAAAAAAAAAAAGAAACAGATGAGCAAAGGCCTATTCACACCAAGAGTGGCAAAAAACAATGTGAATCATATCTGAAAAATAGCAAATGATTTTTGTTTTTTTGTTTGCTCTTCTGGTTCCAGACACATGACCCATGAAGCAACAGAAAATAGATTATAAATGTTTTATTTTAAATACTTGTGATCTGTGAGAAAAGGCCTATGGATAGGTCAACTGAACTCTTTTACACTGTTCAACAGCGTTTGCATTTAATGGATATTAACAATTTAACCTTTTTAAAAGAGGTCAGAATTACCTGGAGAAATGGCCAACTGGAAGTGATGGAGTTTGTTTTCATCAGGAAATGTTACTTTACAGGTATCTGCAGAAAGAATAATATTTCGAATAATAGTTCATAATCACACAAATAGATATAAATTAACATCTGCATTACAACTGACAGATCCAGACAGATTTGTATCATGAAAAAAAAAGAATTTATGTTTTGTTTTTTATCATTTTAAAATGTTTCCTGCGATGTATGAAAGAACCAGCATTAGGGATGCACCGAAATCATACAATAAATCAGACAAAAATCATGTTATGACCAATAACTAATAAACAGACGCTATTCAGACTCTATAATATTTTGTCAAAAGAAATTAAAATAATTACAAAAAACTAAAAGCAATCATTTTAAATGCTACAGGGCATAACAACAATATAATGTATAGTGTGAACATTTATATTTATTTAAAGATTATATTTAATAGTAATTAATTCTTTTCAAGATTATATGACAACAAAAGAACAGCAAAAATCTAAAAATAAAATAAAGAGATATAAAATTCTAGATGTACAAACAAACAATGATATATATATATATATATATATATATATATATATATATACACTCACCGGCCACTTTATTAGGTACACCTGTCCAACTGCTCGTTAACACTTAATTTCTAAGCAGCCAATCACATGGCGGCAACTCAGTGCATTTAGGCATGTAGACATGGTCAAGACAATCTCCTGCAGTTCAAACCGAGCATCAGTATGGGGAAGAAAGGTGATTTGAGTGACTTTGAACGTGGCATGATTGTTGGTGCCAGAAGGGCTGGTCTGAGTATTTCAGAAACTGCTAATCTACTGGGATTTTCACGCACAACCATCTCTAGGGTTTACAGAGAATGGTCCGAAAAAGAAAAAACATCCAGTGAGCGGCAGTTCTGTGGGCGGAAATGCCTTGTTGATGCCAGAGGTCAGAGGAGAATGGCCAGACTGGTTCGAGCTGATAGAAGGGCAACAGTGACTCAAATAACCACCCGTTACAACCAAGGTGGGCAGAAGAGCATCTCTGAACGCACAGTACGTCGAACTTTGAGGCAGATGGGCTACAACAGCAGAAGACCCCACCGGGTACCACTCATCTCCACTACAAATAGGAAAAAGAGGCTACAATTTGCAAGAGCTCACCAAAATTGGACAGTTGAAGACTGGAAAAATGTTGCCTGGTCTGATGAGTCTCGATTTCTGTTGAGACATTCAGATGGTAGAGTCAGAATTTGGCGTAAACAGAATGAGAACATGGATCCATCATGCCTTGTTACCACTGTGCAGGCTGGTGGTGGTGGTGTAATGGTGTGGGGGATGTTTTCCTGGCACACTTTAGGCCCCTTAGTGCCAATTGGGCATCGTTTAAATGCCACGGCCTACCTGAGCATTGTTTCTGACCATGTCCATCCCTTTATGGCCACCATGTACCCATCCTCTGATGGCTACTTCCAGCAGGATAATGCACCATGGCACAAAGCTCGAATCATTTCAAATTGGTTTTCTTGAACATGACAATGAGTTCACTGTACTAAAATGGCCTCCACAGTCACCAGATCTCAATCCAATAGAGCATCTTTGGGATGTGGTGGAACGGGAGATTCGCATCATGGATGTGCAGCCGACAAATCTGCGGCAACTGTGTGATGCCATCATGTCAATATGGACCAAACTCCCTGAGGAATGCTTCCAGCACCTTGTTGAATCTATGCCACGAAGAATTGAGGCAGTTCTGAAGGCAAAAGGGGGTCCAACCCGTTACTAGCATGGGGTACCTAATAAAGTGGCCGGTGAGTGTATATATATATACCAGTATATAATTGTTTGTTTGTACATCTAGAATTATATATAGCAATAACTGATATGGTATTAATATACTGCACAAAATGTCCTGGATAAGATACACTCACTTGGAAGGTTGGTCTCAAGTTCTGCAACCTCTGTAAACAAATCAAAGCAGTGTTCAAAACTGATGGGTAGACTTATGAAACCAGCTTTTACTAACCAGTACATAAACAAATGTTTTAGAACGATATAGTTTTAAAATTTCCTTTGTTACTGGAATCCTTCCCTGAATTTGTTTATTATTGGAATTCTTGTTTATGAAGCACTGATACAAGACACATGTATGAAAGAAAAAGCATATGGCCACCAGCTATATGGCCAACTTCATTCTCACTATACCATCTCTAAATGTTAATTTGGGGCGGATCTAATGGCCTCACTGATTCAAAAAATAGCCTGAGTGTTTGACTGCGGATCATGAACTGCTTTTTTAAGCTGCTGGTAATGGCATACAGACTCCTCCTCTCAGTCTGATATAAATAGAGTTTACTGCTTTCCTGATCTGGCCTGCATCACATCACCTTACTGCCAGTACAACTGCCTGCAGACAGTCACCGCACAACACAACACAACACAACACAACACAACACAACACGACTCAACAACTCAACACGACTCAACAACTCAACATGCTCTCTGGATTCAGACCTGCTCTTCTCTTTCAAAAAGTTTGGCAGGGTGTTGTTCATGATCCAATTATAATGCGTGTTAAATCATGATAAATAGAATACATTTATTTTCAGAGACAACAAAGACAAAAACAAATCTTAGAGATTCAAATGTAGAAAGACAGACAGACAGATAGATACAGACAGACAGACAGATACTAGTTCAAAAAGTGCCAAAATTATTCTTAAACATATGACTGAAATGTATTTATATATATATTTAAACCAATAATTCAATGCACAAAACACGTTGTTGTCTGTACAAACATTGTTGAGTAAAAAAAATGCCTATTTGATGTAATCTGGTTTCTTTAACCTTGTGTTATTTTTTTGGGTTTTTGTGGATAAAGCAACGTCACACAACCTGTTCAGTGTTCATGTAGTATGACCTGTTCATGTGTAACTGCCTAATATGTGTGTGACCTTATCAGAACAGACCTAAAAATGGGTTGTGAACCACCAGGCTCTAGTGTCATGATGCCTGCCGGCAGAAGGAGTGTTTGGGCAGTGGTTCGTACCTTTGATGAGCAGTCGATCTCTGATGGACACTCTGTGAGAGGCATCATTAGAGCCTGCAGAGGTTCGACCGGCCCTCATGCCTTCCTCCCTCTTCAGCTTACTGGCTAACGTCAGCATACCAGCACACCAACATACACACGCTCACACACCTGTGACCAACACAAATACACACGATGATGGTGAACACTATTTTAGTTAACTAAACATGTCACTTGAAATAAATGTTAACTGAAATAACCTAGGCTATTTCAGCAAATATATATATATATATATATATATATATATGACATTCTGTTAGCTGAAATAGCCTAGTTTATATAATATGTTTACACTGAACATATAAAAATGAGAAATGTTTTATATATATATATATATATATATATATATATATATATATATATATATATATATATATATATATATATATAAATAAAAATCTCATTTTCATTTAGTTTAACTTGACGTACTAACATAAAATAAAATAACAAAAAATATTTAAATAAACATTTATAAATAAACTATATAGGCCTAGACATAAAAAACAGACAAATTTTAATGGAAAATATAAAATGACAGACATTATTATTTTTAATTACATCTAACAGTTAAATGCCTTCCAAGTGCAATGGCCCACGTTTTTGTGCAATATCCTTGTAAAATGTTGTCCTATTTATTCACAATAACGTGAATATGTTCAGTATCTGTAAATGTTTATTCTTTCTGAATAACCCTATCTGTGTCTTTATACTTTTTATATATTGTTATATTTATATATGTGTACTGGAAGCTTTAATCCCACGGTAAATTCCTTAAGTGTGTGCAAGCACACTTGGCAAAAGAGCTCTTTCTGATTCGGACATTATTTCTGTTTCGGCCCAATTTTGTATGTTTTCTGCAAAATCTTTACAATGATAATCATGTATATATATATATTATTATTTTTTTGCCAAAATACAAGTTACTAAATTATTAAAATTATAAACTTATTATTTTGCTAATCATATTCTTTTAATAGGTTCCTCGAACTCATTAGGCATGTATTATTGAAGCTTTAATCCTCTGTTGTTGTATTACACAAATTATTTGTAGAAAGCAAAATAAAATGTAACAAATTTTAAAATAATAATAAAAGTGTGCTGCAGTGTATCAATCATAATTTATTCATGTGTTTTTGTATTCTAAAACAAGCAGCTACTGTATTGTAAATACAGTATTATTACTATTATTAGCCTAAGTGTGCAAATGTAAACAATATGTCATCACTTCCTTGTTCCTCCCTCTTTAAACTGTTGCCGTCCGGTGACTACAGAGAACTGAACACCAGAACGGACAGGCATAGGACACGTTTTTTTACACAACACTTTTATACATTTATTTATTTAACACACCATAGGCTACTTCTTATTTACATTCCTTGCATTTGTACATACTGTACTTATTGTACATAGTACTTATTGTACTGTACATACTATTGTCTATTTTGTATATTGTGTATTTTTCAATATATTGTTATTTCCTATTTACTTATTATATTTGTATCCTTTATTAACTGTGTCCTGTCACTGTCATTCTGTTTGTGCTGTAGAAGCTTCTGTCACCAAACCAAATTCCTTGTATTTGCAAAACATACCTGGCAAAAAAAAAGCTCTTTCTGATTCTGACTGTTTTAGGACAGATTGTTTTTATAGCAACTGCAAACCTTACTGGAGTTCACATGAAGTAGTACATCACAGATGTGTTTTGTGTTTACGTTATACTGGCCATCATATAGCATTACATTAACGTTACTACTTTTAAACAACAACAAAAAATATATTGTGAGAAAAAAACAGACTCGCCAAGTATTTTACTACATATTCTGCTACAGATATTGTATTACATGTATATAACAAATTAAACACAAAGGGACACACTCTCTGGTGTGAAAGAATCAAGTACCATGGTATTACCATGTTTTTGGTGACATGGTTTCACGGTAATACCATGCAACTGACATGTACTAGGCCTACAAAATCCACAAATCAGCAATACCATGTTTTTTAAACAAGCACTGTGGTAATATCATGTAAATACCCTGGTACAGGAATAGGGTAATCTGTCAGTACAAATGAATAAATCAAAGTACCATGGTATTACCATCTGTTACCATTAGTCTGGTAACGTTATCTTTATACAATACCTACCTAAATATATAAAGCAATATTAAACCTCCTAAAACATGTATAAATTGTAGAGACTACAATAAGCGTATCAGATGCATGTTATGAAATTAAACAATACAAACTTTCATAATCATCAGTTACCGGTTCGGTTTGAGCCGTTATTGTGCTAACATGTTCATTCGCATCTACACTTTAACCCCCATCACACAGTGCATTGTTTATCCTGGATTTGAGATGACTATCTGGTAATATACAGAAATGTAGGGACTAAAATATCTTTACATTCATAATAAAACTAAAAAAAATGTCAATAACTCGGCTGCGAACGATATTACACTTACCTGCCGCTGTCAGAGTCACCGAACTGTCCCGTTTACACCATAATCGGGATATTCCAAATGAATTTCACGCCGTTTACCCCCAAATAACTTTTATGTAAATCACGTTGAAAGTCGTTAAAAGAAATAGAATTGAGTGGAATACTTCGCGGATTAGTTCCTTCTGTTGAGTTTAATGATTTCCGCTGCCTGAGCGGTATAGAAGCCGGAAGTTGTATCGTTCATTTTAAAAAAAAGTCCGTATGGAATCAAACGCCACAAATAAATTGTCCGCCCTTTTTCTGCAAAGCCAAATGAGATTTTGAGCCAGAGAACTTTCTTTATATTTTATGGTGTTTATAGAAACATTAAACACACGATATAATACATCCAACAGTTAAGTGTTTATTGTTCAACATTAATGTTCTTTGAAGTATTGAGAAACAATTGAAACAGAGGGATCATTTTAAGATTTCTGTGGTTTAGAGGCTAATAAATAGAAGTATTTCACTACCACTGTTACTTCAGTGTCAGCCGACGAGGCCCCCATTGCGTCCAACAACCTGAAAATAAGATAATGACAATTATTAACATTTTATTAATTATATTAAGTTTAATACTTATTATATATTCAAATTTCAGAAATAATTGGATTAATTACAAAAAAATCAAATGATGTGTTGACTTATAATTTAAGCATTTTTGATAATCTATGTATGCATAGGTTGAAATAATTAAATGACACTGGAGCTAATGGCTATTGCTTCTTTCAGAGCATCAGGTACGATGTTCCTTATGAGCCGAGACTGTCTGTTACCTGTCTGTGATGGTCTGAGACAGTCTCTTGGCCTCAACAGGATCCTTTTCCAGGAAACCTTGATATGTAGCGAAAGATTCAACCAAGCCAATGAACCTTGACAGTGGCATCATCATCCGAACCTTCAGACATTCATGCCTGTGCAAACAAATACAGGCATTTAAGTTTGAATCTGATATCTTTAAAGTCTTTAAAGGTGCCCTATGTAAAAACTGAGGTAAAATTATCCAAAAAATGAGCTACACGCATCAAAAGAATGAGAAGAAATAAGTGCAATGATGTCATTAAAAAATTGACAAGTTATAGTGCTGCCGAGATATAAACCTAAATTAGCATGCTAAATTACTAGCGCCGGCCCGACTGGTGTCGTAATACCAGTTTCGGCCATGGGAGGCGGTATGCGGGCAACATACATAACCACCAGCCAAACTGCAGTACACGAATAACTCGCACGGCTTGTGGGCGTACTTGAACCTGATGTCAATCGCGTCTATATGAGACCGGCATTTATAATTTAGTGTTGAGATGTTGTTCATTGAGTCTCTAATCTCTTAAAATATCCAAATGAACTGCGGCCTTACTATCGTGTCAATTGATTTGATTAATATGCACGAGGGGGAGAGAGAGCAGGAGGACTCATAGACAGTAAAAGAAATGGACAGAGCGATCTCATTGGAACTCAGTTGAGACAGTTGAAGCCCACTTTTAGCGATTTTTGAGAACTTCCGTTCCTGACGCGCAGACTCAGACCGACTCAAACTAAGCTTGATGACGTGAGCAACCTGTCTGACAGACGTAAATCTTCTAGTAGCTGTGCGTGGAAACTGCCAACGTTAATCTTGCAGAGACGGGGAACTTGAGCAAAGAGTTCTTTGGCGTGAGTGAGCAGGAGTAAGAATTACGTTGCTTTTATGGACTCATTATCTATGGGCTTCTCCCTTGACGGGACGTCCCCCCGATTGCCTGCGAGCTTCTCCTCCTGTCTGTACGGTTATTTCTGTACAGCGCGACAGAGAGTCGAGTGGTTATGACGCAATCGTTAGCCTATTTTTACTAAATCTGTTTCTACGGGGCCATAGTGTAACATAGAAGGTAATGGAGCCCTTTATACATTCTCGTGTTTCTTTAGAAATAAATAATGGACAAATGGAGTCTTTAAACGCCTCAGATGTAAAGTTATTCGCTGTCAAAGTGACGCAAAAATGAATGGGAGTCAATGGAAATGCTAACGCAAGTGAAGTTCTGCTACAACATGGCGGCACCCGGCCGGCTTCAACTTCCGGTCGATGGATTACCCCCTTGGGAGGACTGCCCTCGTGTTGTTTGAAGACGTGAGAGTGCGCGCGCGCGGCCGGGGCGCTCTCTCTTTCTCTGCTCGAAAGGCCAATTTATACTTCTGCGTCGAGTGTACGCCGTAGTGTACGGCGTACGCTACGCACGTAGGCGACGCCGTCATGAGCATTTATACTTCTGCGTTTAGGTCTGCGTTGCTCTGCAGTACAGCGCCGAAACGCTAGTTGGCGGCGGAGGGTTGTAATGTTCCACTGTGTTTAGATTCCTCGCGGCAAGAAGAAGAAGATTCCTCGCGGCTGTTTTGAGTTTAGGTTACTACAAGCAATGTCGACTGCAAGAGAGCAGATCATGTTGGAGTTGGAGCTTATCGAGGTGGAAAAGGTAAATTTTTAGTTTTTTTTAACAGTTTCGCTGTACTTAGAATTTAAAAATGGCGGGCGGTGCAGAAGAACACGCCGGAAATACATAGGAGGAAACGCGATGCTCCCAAGCCGACCAATCACAGATCTTGCGGTCCGCGTCGTCGCGACGTGTAGTTACATTTTTGAGGAGGTGCGCGTCAGGTTACGGCGAAGGGTACGGCGTATGGTACGCGTCTGTGCGTATGCTACGCCGTACCCACTGCGCGCACCCGACGCAGAAGTATAAATTGGCCTTTAGCCCTGTCAAGCGCAGCAGTCATTCTATTCTACATCACTCACCGATCAAAATAGGCTTTGGCGGGACAAAGCGGACGATTTGACGGTTTTTAGAAGATTAACAAACCGAAACTAAAAAACAGACTAGTAGGCCAACTTTCTGGAGGTATACTGCCCCCATCTGGTATGGAATATGCGGAATATGAATTTTATTTTTTGGCAGACATTCCACATGGCACCTTTAAAGTTTGTACGCTATTATTTGGTTACATTATACCATTACGTTTATAAAGCATTTTTTTTTTATTGGCATGATCCTTACAGAGCTTCTATGTAATAAAAAGCACACTTACCACTCTTTGTCATTGTATGAAACAAGGTCATATATCTTCTTGTACACTTGGAGGGAACTGGATCCTATATAAGCTTTCCGAAAAGGGTGCAGGGTTGCATATAACTGTAAATTGAAAAATAGATTTTACACTGAAGATCTCTACACTGTAAAAAAATTGCTGTAGTTATGCAGCTGTTTGCCAGTAACTTACTGTAGATTTAAATTGATGTATATTTACTGGCAACAGTTTGTTCAAAGTTAAATGAACATTAAACATTAACAAGTCTTTGTCTTTACAGAATAAAATTATAAAATAGCATTCTAATGCAAAGCATTCTGGGAACCAGAAATCTTCATCAACCTTTTTCTGTTTTTCTTTTCCTTCAGATTTTGGTTCCCAGAATGCTTTGCATGAGGCTGTTATTTTAGTTTTATTCTGTAAAGATAAAGACTTGTTAATGTTTAATGTTCATTTAACTTTGAACAAACTGTTGCCAGTAAATAACATCAATTTAAAACTACAGTAAGTTACTGGCAAGCAGCTGCCAGTAATACTGTAATTTCTACAGATTTTTTTTACAGTGTAGTGCTAGAAAGCCAATGAATTAAAATGCAGCATCATACTTCACATAGGCTGCCTCATATCAAATATTTATAATATAGGTTTCCTGAACAACAACCCATGAAACATTTTGTTTATGGTTTATTTAACCTCTTGACAGATTTGATTGAGTTTCGAGGTACTTTCTCCATATTCCAGCTCAAAATCCATGGTGTAGCTGAGCAGCGCGAGGCAGCCTCCTGGCCTCAGAATCCTGTCTGCCTCCCGCAGGAAGAGCGGATGGTCAAACCAGTGAGCAGCTGACATGGATGTAACCAAGTCGGCAATATCGTCCTCAAAGGGCAACTCCTCTGCAGGACTCTGTCTAATGGAGCAGGATAAACACATAAATAGCCATAGTGTGCGTACAGTGGGAAAAATAGGGAGGGAATATTTAAAAAGTGGATAAAAACATAATTGTAAGATATCTAGAAATGTTATAAAATTATATAAAATTGCATACATTTATGTAAAATTTAGAAATATACATACACAGTATTAATATAGCCTATATAAAAATAGTATAAATAGTACACAGTATAAACATATTTAAATATATATACACACACAGTATAAAGAGAGGTATTCTTCTCTGCTTCTATTGTTTCTCAATCATTTTAAGAACATGTGTTGAACAATAAATCATTTGTTTCAATGATTTCAATAAATCATTGAAAACTAAACAATTAACATACAAATTGGATTTGTATTTACTGTGTATATTTTGCTATTTATTGTTCAACACACACACACACACATAAGCATATACGTGTATGTATATATATATATATATATATTAGGGCTGTCAAATGATTAATCGTGATTAATCACATCCAAAATAAAAGTTTTTTTTACATAATATATGTGGGTGCACTGTGTATAATTATTTTATATATATAAATACACACACATGCTTGTATATATTTAAGAAATATTTTCATGTATATACTGTATATAAATTTATATATAATTTATATTATATATAAATATAAATATTTTATGTATAAATAATATTTTTTTCTTAAATATACATGCATGTGTGTGTATTTATATATATACAAAATAATTATACACAGTGCACCGACATATATTATGTAAAAAAAACTTTTATTTTGGATGTGATTAATCGTGATTAATCATTTGACAGCCCTAATATATATATATATATATATATATATATATATATATATATATATACACACATACATATACACTCACCGGCCACTTTATTAGGTACCCCATGCTAGTAACGGGTTGGACCCCCTTTTGCCTTCAGAACTGCCTCAATTCTTCGTGGCATAGATTCAACAAGGTGCTGGAAGCATTCCTCAGGGAGTTTGGTCCATATTGACATGATGGCATCACACAGTTGCCGCAGATTTGTCGGCTGCACATCCATGATGCGAATCTCCCGTTCCACCACATCCCAAAGATGCTCTATTGGGTTGAGATCTGGGGCCTCATTTATAAAACTTTGCGTAGGATTTGCGTCAGAAGTGGCGTACGGATGAAACATAGGACGTGCGTACGCACAGAAATATTCGGATTTATAAAACCGTGCGCACGCACATCCTACGCATTTTCCCCTTAATAAATCACAATCAATTCTAAATGTAGCGCAGCTTTTGCGGCTTCATGTCACGCCCATAGTTGCCCATAAATAGTCCGTGAAACGCCCACAAGTTAATATTCATCGATTGCGAAATCATGGCAAACATAGAGAGGAAATAAAAAAAACGTAACTTCACTCAATGTGAAGTAGAAGTTATCATTGGCGAGGTGGAAAAGAGGAGAAAAATGTTGTTTGGAGGGCACAGTGGGCATTAGACTACTAATGCCAAAAGGGCACTTGAGTGGCAAAAGGTTGCAGACGCCGTAAATGCTGTAGCCTCACAACCTCGGACTGTGGCCGAAATAAAAAATAAATGACAAGCTACAGATCTCCGTTATAATCTACTTGGAAATGGGAAATAGTTCAGCGCAAATGTAATTTCTTGCAGCTTTCTGAATGATTGAGACATAGGTCTACGTCATACGTTATTTTATCAAAAATAAAAACAAACTAAAGGCATATGCATGAAATACCTGCATGAATACCATGATTCCGTAGCTGATAAAGACATTTTTACTATGAAAACAACTTTCCCCAGTGGACAAATAATACATCTATCTATCTATCTATCTCTCCCTAATTATCTATCTATCTGACTGACTAGCTATATCTGCTCCGCCAGACGGACACATTGGCGAGAATATCAGTTTTGTACATTATTTCGTTCTGTTTACCATCTTATTTATGAGGATGAATTGTATAACATGCCAATATTATTGCAGAACATTTCACTTTTCTTTTTGCAAATATGTGTTAATTTGCATTTCTGTTGCAGATCGATCAAACGGGTGTTCGTGTAGGCTGTTAATTGTAATACTTGCTTTGTGACGTCTTCGTGTTATTTATGAGAGGCAGTATTGCCATTTATTTTACACAACGGTCTACAGTTTCACACACTTTCACGTGTTTCTTCCATCTGCCGACGGTGTCGCCATTTCTCATTTCACCCGTTTTTGTGCGTACGCCTGGGTCAGAGCTTGCGTGAAGGACCGCACATTTTACCGTCAAGTTTGCTTTTTATAAATACCAATTATTGCGTAGAGAGCGGCGTACGCCTTCTTTTGTGCGTACGCAACGTTTATAAATGAGGCCCCTGGTGACTGTGGAGGCCATTTTAGTACAGTGAACTCATTGTCATGTTCAAGAAACCAATTTGAAATGATTAGAGCTTTGTGACATGGTGGAAGTAGCCATCAGAGGATGGGTACATGGTGGCCATAAAGGGATGGACATGGTCAGAAACAATGCTCAGGTAGGCCGTGGCATTTAAACGATGCCCAATTGGCACTAAGGGGCCTAAAGTGTGCCAGGAAAACATCCCCCACACCATTACACCACCACCACCAGCCTGCACAGTGGTAACAAGGCATGATGGTTCCATGTTCTCATTCTGTTTACGCCAAATTCTGACTCTAACATCTGAATGTCTCAACAGAAATCGAGACTCATCAGACCAGGCAACATTTTTCCAGTCTTCAACTGTTCAATTTTGGTGAGCTCTTGCAAATTGTAGCCTCTTTTTCCTATTTGTAGTGGAGATGAGTGGTACCCGGTGGAGTCTTCTGCTGTTGTAGCCCATCCGCCTCAAGGTTGTGCGTGGGTTAGGGTTAGGGTTAGGGTTAGGGTTAGGGTTAGGGTTAGGTTAGGTTAGGGTTAGGGTTAGGGCTTCACAAATGCTTTGCTGCATACCTCGGTTGTAACGAGAGGTTATTTCAGTCACTGTTGCCCTTCTATCAGCTCGAACCAGTCTGGCCATTCTCCTCTGACCTCTGGCATCAACAAGGCATTTCCGCCCACAGAACTGCCGCTCACTGGATGTTTTTTCTTTTTCGGACCATTCTCTGTAAACCCTAGAGATGGTTGTGCGTGAAAATCCCAGTAGATTAGCAGTTTCTGAAATACTCAGACCAGCCCTTCTGGCACCAACAATCATGCCACGTTCAAAGTCACTCAAATCAACTTTCTTCCCCATACTGATGCTCGGTTTGAACTGCAGGAGATTGTCTTGACCATGTCTACATGCCTAAATGCACTGAGTTGCCGCCATGTGATTGGCTGCTTAGAAATTAAGTGTTAACGAGCAGTTGGACAGGTGTACCTAATAAAGTGGCCGGTGAGTGTATATATATATATATATATGTGTGTGTATGTATATATATATATATATATATACACACACACACACAGTTATATATGGCTTTCTTATGCACGAAAAATATTTATTTCTTTTCATTTGTGGTTGAATGTGATCTGGTCACACTTTCGTGATGTTTAAACATTCAATAACAAAAAGGTAATAATAAAAATAACACCATGGCAATGATGGAACTATACTATGTTTTTAGAAATGTGACATACTGACAAGATACTTCAGAGAATATTAAGGTACTGCATGCAGTACCTTAATATTCTCTGAAGTATCTTGTCAGTAGTACCTTGGTATTGCCATATGATGCCCTCACATATACCATGGTACTGCCACAGTACTTTTTTTAAGCATAATGAAGCTAAGAATTGTTCTATATTTTCTTGCAGGTGTTGATAGTTATTTTGTACCTGTAACACAAATTTGCAGCGTGATCTTTAGCAGAGGCTATCTCCAGTTGAGCTGAACTGATATCTGTCCCGACCACAGTCATAAAGTGAGGAGCCAGTAGTTCAGTGCCCTGTCCTGATCCACAGCCCACATCCACTGCCAGATCAAGCGGCTCCTGTATCTGTTCAGGTCAAAAGAAGGCTTTAGCTACTCTGGTGTGTTTTCAACAGCTGACTTCAATGCGTCTGTCATTCGAATTTAAAAACTTAAAAGGATAGTTTAAGTTAAAAAAAAAATTCCAAACTCATGTAATTTTCTTTCTTTTCACAGTCTTATGTACCAACGCGGAAGTAAGCTATTTTCTTTGATTGAGTGACAATTCGATTCATTTGACGCTATAGGCCTACAGCAAATAATGGGAAGAATAACAAAATGCTGTAAATGCTCAAATAATTATGATATAATGAGTTTGTAATTTCAAGCAACATAACGGAAAGTTGTTGTACAGCTAAAATAAATGGAAGCGGATGAGACATGAAGTTACAATGGCCACGTCCACTCTATTGTTGAGAATAAGGTGAGTAACACCTGAAATCTGCTATTTTGCATTAAAAATAAAGCATTCAGGTTTCAAAAATGAGGGTTTACAAATGATGACAGAAATTTGATTTATATATAGGCTATTTACTATTTCTTTAATATTTAATTCATGCAGTAAATGTGAATAAATCCATAATAGGCCTACTTCAGCTTAGTCAGAAAAGGAACACTGACAATATTTTAAAAGATTTTGTTTGCAAAAGTTTTAACAAAGCAATAAGTGACTTAAGCTACTGTCTATTTGCAATTATTTTGTTGGTGTAAACGTTTCACAAGCTAAACAATATAACTTTGTTTTCACATGTCTTTGATTCTTTTCCACAGTTTAGCCTCAATAAAGACAAATAAAACTTCAGATACATAATGTGCTGAGTCATTATGACCCAAGCTTTTCCAAACACACTCATCTCACATAGCCTACTCTTTTTCGAAGGAAGTTCAGCACTTCGTCTAGGAGTTCCTGAGGAGGAGACACCCGGTAACGCTGGTAAGATTCAGCATGTACTTTTCCCTCAAAATGTCTCTGAGCCATTTCCCCTTTCTAGAGCCGCTGTTAGTCCATCCAACAGACACAACCTGAGAATCTGGCCTTGGGTTATTAAAACAAGCATAGGCGGAGTGTGTGTGGGGCAGGGCAAAAACACCTGACTGCTGCTGTTTCGGGTTGCTTTTACAAATAAAAGCTGCCAATAACTGCTGATATAGGATCAGTTTTCTCCGTAATGATAGCATATCGACGAAACCTTTGCCTATCCAGTGCGGATCTGTGTTTGCGCTCTGGAGTGCATCAAGGGTTTCGATTTACAAATGTGTTTTTGTAGCATTGAGAAATGCAGCCAATCACAGACACCACTGTTGATATCTAGACCGCAATGTCCAATCAGAGTTGTTTAAGTTAGAATTCACTGACCACTCGAAGAGATTCATTGTGCTGTCAGTTTCTTTGAACTTTAGTGAGATTGCGAGGTGATTATAAACGGAGCGCTTTGCTCTCTTTCTAGGCTAGGCTGTATTAATAATAATTTATAGGCTATATATATATTCAGAATTTGAATGAAACTTTCGTTTTTCATACCTGCAGCCTATGTAGCCTACACAGCAAAAGTTTCGGGATTGACATTAATATTTCACTAATATCACCCTCCCTCAGTGATTTGGTTCTGGAACCGGGCCAGGTCTAAGCACAGGATTTGGCTGCATTATGTTGCAATGAACATGTTTTGTGAACATAGCCGCTTTAAAATTAAATAATTGATCGGGAGCGCATATGCAATCTATTTAAATATGTTTTTTAAGGGGAAGCGCATCTCTTTACCCTGAAGTTGGTTCACCCTCCACATATGAATGCAGTCGCGTTTACTGCGTTTTACCTCTGTACTTTTAGCGTCTGGAGTGTTTTTATTATTTAATTAAATTACAGTAATCGTTAAAAAAGCTATAAAACATTGGAAATGTTAGATATGTTACAATACACAGTGGTTTTGTATATGTATCCATTATGTATTTTTTAAATAATTATACTAGTATCATCATAACAAATGTAACACGTAGGAAGACAGCTTGTCACACTGGAAAGTAGGCTAATTTCACATTAATTTCAAAACACCTTCAAAACTAAATAAAAAAAAAGAGTAACGTTACATTAGGCCTAATTTCTGAATTCTGCCCTTATAACAAAATGCAGGCTTTTTAACTTTAGATATAGTAATAGTAATATTGTGTATATTCATTTTCAACAATACACAAAGGTATTCTTATCAAAACAATGTCAATAAATTGCAGATTTCCTTGTGACAACTGACCCATAAATGTTAAATCAATGAAGTTATTTTATAATATTTGTGTTGTAGGTCTTTTTTATTATGTTTGTATGTAAATTACCTGACATTTAAAAAAAGAGTGCTGTAACAAATGTGACTACGAGCCCTGGTCTCTCCAACACAACGCGCCTCTTCGCAAGAAGATGCAGTGAGCAGCAGGGGGCGCTATCACACAGCAGAACATGTTCAGCCACTGCCACTAGTGCACTGCACTCATCTAAACATGCACATGCACTGTAATTCTAACACACAGAGACTGTCATTATGTTATTTTGAAACAAAAAGTGATTACCATAAATAAACAAATAGGCCTACCCTTTTTTAGTTTAAATTCTGCTTCAAGTATTAAACAATTTGAGTGCTGTGACTAATTATTACACATAATTTGTGTAATGAATATGTTTTGAAAGAGTGGGAGAAAAAAACCCTCATCAAATTAGCATGTCACAAACAATCTGCCCTGGGCAACAATGGTTGTACTAGATTACATTTCACGCATGCTGATTGGCTGAATAATATTATCAGCTCCGCCTACTTACTAAGCCTCTGATGACTTGTGTTTGGCTGTCAAATCTTGACGTGACAGCTGCGAGACCGTCAATAAGTCAGAAAGCTGGTCATCGGGCAGCCAATTCCCTAAGCCGCACGGGTTTAAGGGTTTTAATTATTCATTGGTCACACGTCTGGTCCATACACGAATCAATCAGACCAGCCTGTGTTTGGATGGGTTTATAGGTGTCAGGGCAGAGAGGCCTGGACCCGTGTACCTCAGCACTGCGCAGCCCTGCAGATAAAATCAATCACTGCTGATCACATCAGTATTTGCATCCACTGCCACACCTGTCAGAGAGAAACACACAAACAGAGAGAGAGAGAGAGAGAGAGAGAGAGAGAGAGAGAGAGAGAGAGAGAGAGAGAGAGAGAGAGAGAGAGAGAGAGAGAGAGAGAGCATACGCAAAAAGAGGATGCACTTTATTTTTTGCCCAGAAACTACTTTAAACCGATTTTATAGGCCTCGCAATTGTGAGATAGGCCTGAAGTCAGAATTGCGGGACATAAACTCACAATTGCGAGAAGTAAAGTCAGACGTGTGAGAGAAAAAAAGTCACAATTACCTTTTTTCATTTTTATTCAGTGGTGGAAACAAGCTTCCATAGGTCAACGCAGCAAACTTAGCGAAATTCCTGATTGCGAGGATTTCTGTTGAAATGACTTAATTTGTAGCACAATGGTAAATGTGTCTGTACATTTCATGTTCTGATTTATAGCGATTTAAATATTTGTTCATATTTCACTGTTTATTTACCAAAAAAGATTGTCATATTTTTGCATTGTTTAGTTCTGAACATGTCACTTCTATGGAAGCTTGTTTTCACCACAGAAGAAAAAAAAGGTAATTGCGACTTTTTATCTCACAATTTTTTTCCCAATTGCAAGTTTATGACGCGGCAGACAAGGTAATATCGCCCCCTTTATTATTACATTTTGTTAACATTACAGAAGAATAAACCACAGAAAAAAATAATTGCGCTAAATTCACAATTGCGAGAAGTCATAATTATGAGATATAAACTTTTATTCGCAATTGAGAATATTCGAGTTTATCTGGCAATTCAGAATTGATAGCTCGCATATATATTCCAAGTTGTTATTGGAATTGCAAGAAAAAAGTCATAATTACGAGATATAAACTCACAGTTGTGGGGTAAAAAAAGTCAGAATTGCAAGTTATAAAATTAGAATTGCGAGTTATGAACTTAGAATTGGCTTTATGCACAGCTTCACTACTTCCTGAACTTCAGCCAGCCCTTTGTTTCCTGTCTGTCATTATTGGACAAACTGATTAATTCAGGTGTGCCTGGCCTCAGTAACAATAATCAGGCACACCTGGACTAATCAGTTTGTCCAATAATGACAGACAGGAAACAAAGGGCTGGCTGAAGTTCAGGAAGTAGTGAAGCTGTGCATAAAGCCTATTGCGAGAATTGTGAGATATAAACTCAGAATTGCGAGAAAGTTATAAATTGAGAGATATAAACTCATAAATATTGATAAAAAGTCAAAATTACTTTTTGTTTTATTCTGTGGCAAAACAAGCTTCCATACACTTCTCAGTTTCTGAATTATTAAAAAATCTTTACTCTGCACAAATACATAAACACTGACACAAAGATTGCCCACTGTACATTATGAACAATATCCTTCTGTGATATTAGCAAAATAGATGGATAGAGTTATCTTGTCTTCCCCCATTAAACCTTCATATAGCCACTGTAGGCATAAACATTATAACTAGATTTGACAAACTTGTCCATTAAGGTTGTCTGCAAGAGAAAACATGCAAGAATGGGCTGCTTTTGTAGAAGCTTTTGCGTTACATGCGTAGGCTCATAAGCTAGCGGTGTGACGTTACAAACACACTCACACACTTCATTTGATACTTTTGTTAAACCCTTTTACTCAAAGCCTAATAGGCCTCCAAATAACAAAGCGTGCTTTTGCATTGCATGTGTCATCAATGATGTGTCATGAATGTTTTAGAGTCATCAGACCTTGTGTAAAGATGCCAAATTCTTTCACACTGAAAGACAAAAGAGGTTAGACGACAACTTTACCATCACAAAACAGCAATTTCACTCATAAACTTTGCCTGTACAGAGAAAAGGTCATTTGCATTCAGGCTTTTTTTATTTTTATGTGTTCTTAAATGATGCCACTCTTGGAGAAAGATCAACGTCATCATTGAAACAGAGCAATTACTTTTATTACAAATGACTTCCGTCTTGTGCGCATGAAGAGCTATTTTCCAAATAACTTTCTCAAAGGCCAGTTTTATGAATACATTAACATCAAAACTAATGGCCAATATCCTGATGTTCTTCTGGTTATTGCTACCGGAACATTCATATCTGTACATGCACGCTCTAAAAAGTCAATAGTGCAAGAAGAGGAAATGTCTTTCTAATGAACATGCTTAGATACTCAGGGTTAGAGATTTGAACTAAGTGCTTCACTCCTAAAAATAAAGGTTCTTTATTGGCATTCATAGTTTCATGGAGAACCTTTCCATTGAACAAAAGGTTCTTTAGAGTTGAAAAAAAAAGGTTGTTTAGATTATTTTTAATGTCCTTCACGTTAAGGAAAAAATATGGTTCTTTTAAGAACCTTAAAGCTTCACTGAAAGCTTCTTTGGGGAACCAAAAGTGGTTCTTCTTTGGCATCGCTGCAACATATTTTGTTGATCCTGGAACAACATTACTGTCCAAAAATGTAGTCCTAACCCTATTCCTACACATCCCTAAAATCAGAGGGAATTGATTGGTGAATAATCTGTGACATGATATGTGATATTCAACGCTATCTCACAACCAATTCGTACGAGTGATTAAAAGGTGGCTAATTCGTACTAATTCATACGACCTCACTCGTACGAATTCGTACGATTTGTCTAAACCCACGTGATGGGTAGGTTTAGGGGCGGGGTCAGGGGTAGGTCATTCGTACGAATTCATACGAATTTGGTAAAGCCTAGTTCACACTACATGATTTTAAGCCCGATTTAAGCCCGATTTGCAAATCGTTGAGCTCGCCGACAGGTCAGGGTGTTATCGCGTGCAAATCGCGGGGGATTACCGGGCGATGAACGCTTGCCAATCTGTTAGTATGAAAGAGCCAACAACGCATCAAAGACGCTCGCAGACGCGTCACCGAGCCCAGAAAAATATCTAGCATGCTAGATATCCAGAGCTGTCGCACGACTCAAGCTCACGT